TTGATATAGCTTGGTAATATGTTTTGCCTTCATCTTTACTTTTCCCCCTAGTTAAACCTGAAATTGTCCTTGATGCTGAGGTCTTCCCAATGAAAAATTAAGATTTGGATTGGGCCAATATGAACAGAGAGGATTACGACTGACCCTGAATTACAAATTTGTACAATCGTTTATCTATATTTTTGCCTGGATGTCTTGAAGGCAACTCAATCTAAATGTGCAACATGGACTTCGTGAGTTCCTTAAAAATGCCCAGTCCCACACTCTTCCTTACACTGTCAACTGTAATTCCAACACTGCAGAGGCTCGGGCTTGGAGTTACCCCTGACCTTTTCAGCCCTTTCAGTTGTATTTGATCAAGTTCTGTGTTTCAACTACTTCCCACCAGACTTTCAACTACTTTGGTTTTAGTAAACGAATAATCTGTTTTGCATTACAATGGTCACCCTGTCCCAACCATCATCCTCTTATAACCCAGACATTCTCAGAGTAGTGTCCAGAATCATCAGGCTTATGGTGGTGGTACCCATCTATAATCCTAACACTCAGGGGACTGAGGCAGGAGGATCAAGAATTCAAAGTTAGCCTAAGCTACAAAGTCAGACCCTGTCTAGAAAGAAAGGAAAAAAAATACCAGAACATGCCATTCCCTTTATCAAAATTCATTCAGTTATTTCCTGTTTCTTTCAAATTAAATCTCCAAGTCTTTGGTTTTACATAATTGGTTTTGACTGCACTGGTGACACAGAAACACTCGATTCTTTATCTTTTATTCAAATACGACTTTCTCAGTGAGTGTGAACTTACTGACTGTGGACAGCAGCAAGCTCCTCCTACTCGCTACTCTGTATTTCTTGGTCAACTGTCTTCTTTTCTCTGTAGCGCTCACCCACATCACACACACTGCATTTTTACTCAGTTGTTTCTTTCCAGTACGATATAATCACCATGGTGGTAAAGAGACCTCTGCTCTGCTTACTGCTCTATCCAGGGCAGAAGGCAATTCCTGGTACATAAGGATCAATTTGCATTACTGAACAGGCAGTGAGCAGATTTAAATACATTTATTATGTAAATACAAGATGGAGTGCAAGTGGGACAAGGTGGAGTTTAAAATTTAAGATAGATATATACATATACACTTATATATACATACACACATACATATATAATAAAATACATTAGTAGAAATGATTACATAAGAGAAAATTTGTTAAGATTGAAGAAAAGAGGAAATGCACATGAACTATGACCTTAAGCAGACAAGAGGAGGCCTGGACTCAGGTGGGAGCAAAGACTGTCCACCCACAAGCCCAGCAGAGATTCAAGGACTATGGTGACGGGTGCAGGTGGTGTGTAAATTTCTGTTTCTCCTCTCATCTAACCTTTCTGCATTAGCTGATAAGAGGAGAGACATTAGAGGTATGAAACATTAAGAAGAAAATGTAAACCAATTCTCCAGAGTCAAAGAGGGAAAGGAGCAGGGCAGACCAGAACCGTCGGGGCCACTGACAGTCGTCGTCATGAACTCACGTAGGGCACTTAAGATACTGAAGATGCTCCAGCATGTCTGGGTACATGGGCAAAGAGATGCAGAGCTGGCTGCCAATAGGACTGGTGAATTGTGGCAAATATGGAGCAGTAAGGGGGATGAACAGGATTGCCAATGTGGTCTGCAATAAAGGAATTATAACCAGAGGGCATGGGGCTAAGAGGGGGTGAGATGTGAGAGTGAAGGGTGAATGCAGGGTGGGCACAGCCAGGGGCACTGTAAAAATGACCAGGTCAGGAAACTAGTCATTTCAGGGAGTTTGAAGAATTTGAGTTGGGCATATACCATGCATGTAGGGTGCTACTGGTCAGATAATGTTGGAAAACTTGGGGTTCTAAAGCTGTAACAAGGAGGGAGAGCAGACAGCGTGGATATATGGTACAGCCTCCGAAGAAAGTAGACAGCTATGCAGAAGAAGGGGGAAGTAACGTGGAACAACTGATAGGGTGAAGAATGACGCTTTCCTCCGCGGCAAGGCTCCATGGCAGGAAAGGTTTGCAGCAGAAACATGACTGAGAGGAGCAAGACAGTGAAGGAGGTATTCTGAGAGGCAGTTCACAAGCTAGGCACTTGAACCAAGAGAAATGCTACCCCACAGCTGTGGGACTGAGATCAAGTGCAGTCATGTTTCCTCAGAAACGTGTCTAGGAACATCCTCTGTCGTGTCTTCTAGATCCCAAAGGCTACCAGCAGTCCCTGGTGCTCCTTGTCGTGTCTTCTAGATCCCAAAGGCTACCAGCAGTCCCTGGTGCTCCTTTGGCTCCAGATGCTGCACTCTGATCTCGGCCTCTATTGTCACACAGGGTTCACCCTGTGTGTCTCTGTCTCTGTTTTCTGAGGACACTAGCCACATTGGATTCAGGGCTCCACCCTCTTCCCCTGTAAGACCTTATCTGATAATTACATTTGCAATGCCTGCATTCAAAGAAGGCCACTTCTGGGCATGTTGAAGGTGAAGACTCAAACAAATCTTCCTGAGAGCAGCAACTCAGCCCCTAATAGAGGTGGAGAAGAAGAATATATAGCTTTTCTGGAATGTATTTGTATTTTAAGTCTCTCAATTATTTGTTCAGCTCAGTAAATAAGACTTGGAATCCAAGTGTTTTACAAATTCTCATTACAAAGTGTATGACAGCCAAACAGACAAAAGGAATGTGCACACGGACATGAGTGAAAAGTCATGGGACACAGGACGAGCTACTGATGTGGGATGATGGCTTCAAACCAAGAGGGAGAGCCCACTGCTCTGAAGGGAAGCACCGGCTTCTGGTCGCGCCCTGCAGAGCGCCTTTGCACTAGTCTTAGAGTCTCACTGCTTCAAAACGTCAAACCAGCTAAAGTTCACAAGCCCACAGGGAGAAAAGCTTGAAATAATGTGATGTTAAAACACTCATCAGCATCAATCTACATGAGAAGTAGAAAAAAACAGGATCTCCGAGTAAATTGGGAGCTTGGGAGTGTGGAGATCATGGGAGAGGGTTGAAGGGGAGTGGGGAGGAAGAACAATAAAATCCACTCATCAGTGAGACAATGTCTTATCATGACATGCAGACAGAAAGGAAGGTGGGGCGGACTCTCCTTTGGGTTTTTAATCAAAACAGGACACCACTCATTCCAGATCTCAACCACCTAATTGTGTGTGGATGCATACGATGAAGGCCAAAGGTCAACCTTAGTTAGACTCTTTCCTGGTTGTGCTCTATCTTAACAGGATTTTGTCACTGTCCTGAAGCTCCCTGTTAGGCCAGGTTGGTCAGCCAGTGAGGCTTGGGGTGTGCCTTCCTGACACTGAGATTACAAGTGTGCATCTTCATCTCCTGCTTCTTACATGGGTTCTGGGGCTCACACTCGAGTCCTCAGGCTTGCCCCCCACCCCAGTTCTTCTTGACTGTTACAGGAATAAGGCTTCCACATTTGGTAAGGTACAAGACCTAGGTTATTCAGCCTATTATTGCTAGGCTAGGTGCTAGGTGCTATACCTGCCCCGTGACCTCAGAATAGCCTGCAATTTGTACCTGCAATGGGCTCAGGTAAGTTCCTCTTGGGATGCCAGATCTTGGTCAAAAATACTAATGGATAATTTCAGTTCCTCACATCTAACGCGCTGGTAGGCATGCAACAACTCATTTCTTTGGAAGGAATGCAAATATTTGACTCCTGCCCATTCTGAATTGTAGGAGCCTAAATGAATGAGGTTCATCCTGCTGAGGGAAGTTTTGACTTGACTCTTCTGACCTTGGCAGAGTGGAGCCGGCATTTCAGAAGGCAAGGTGAGGCTGTGGCTTATTACTTTGAAGGTAATGGCTTTCATGAAAGATGCAGAATCCAACTGTTTGATAGTATATCTAGCCTTTTCTCCTCCCTACACAGCTGGTAAGGAATGAAGTCCCTCACTCTATTACTCTAATTGAATTTCAACTTGGGTAATTATACTATAATTAAATAAATTTTCCCCATAGTTTTAATTCACTGACAAATAGTGCTAGTCAAACGGCTTCATTTCATTCCCAGACACGCATCCCCACTACATTTCTGTGATAAGTGGAGTGATTTATATTTGGAAGATGTGTGTGGAAAAACTGCACAGTTCATAAAATATTTTAGGTATCATTTATGATTACATATGCTTTGCTCAGCATGAGATAACATTAATTTCTATTATAATCTTTCATCTAATTTCTCATATGCTTAGTGCCAAAGGAAATAAGACAGTTAATTAGCATTTCTTGTTTCCAGACTTCTGCTGGGTTACTCAGTGGCCTGTATCTACTTGTAGTGTTGACCTTTCCCCTATGGCATGTTTTGTTGTCCTTAGGAGGCAGGCTGCATTAGGAGTTTCTGCTTTCCATTTTACAAATGGGACCATTGTGGTAGTATTCCCAGGGTTATGGAGAGAGTTGTAGCAAACACCAGCTTTGGGGTCTCAGCTGCCTTAGGTCTCCTAGCTCGAGGTCCTTTTTCTCAAAAACCAACCAACACCGGGTCACTATTAATCACTTAGCTTTACAAGAAAAAAATGACAAGCAGTACATATGTAACTCAGGCCATAGGTCACTGGTTTATGATAATTAATGATTTATCCAGGAGCAGGAGGCCTAATTACTAGGACCAGATGCTGTCCTTGGACTGCAAGGCTGTGGGATTTTCTGAGTCTCAGGGTTAATACTCTGGGCTCCGCTGGGAGGGGGCTCAAATGGGTCGCCAAGTTATACAGAAGAATTCAGTTTTCAGTGTTCTTCTAAAGATTGACCTTGAAGGTCTGAAGAAGGCTTGTGTGTGTGTGGGGGGGGGGAGGCCATTTTTCTCTCACGGTGCTAGGATACAAACACAGGAAAGGCCTTGTGCATCTAGGAAAGCCATCTACTCCCAGCCACATCTGTAGTCCAGGAGATGGCAGTTAATAAAATACATCAATAAAAGATATGGAAGGCATTATGAAAATACTCACGAAAAGCAGCAGTAGCAGCGGTGTTACAACAATGCCCTGAAAGAAATGAAAGACAGAATGGTCACTTGTCGGCCTAGAAAGCATACTTCTCCCCTCATTTTGGTGGGAACGCTGGTCATTTCACTCCTGTTTAACAAACTGAGAAGAGAAAGATGGCTCTCCCACCATCAATTAATTTCATTTTAATGGTTACTTATATTAGACAACATTAAAGTTACAACCACCCAATTCTCCTTACTTCCGTTCAAATCTAAATCCGCTTTCCTGTTTCTAACGTCCCACATGGGTGGAACCTGAAGGTTGGCAAATCTTCTCATTCAAGGCCTTCGGCTCTAGCTTGGTAAAGTGTCCCTTTCTGAGAGAAGACAGGTGGTTTAGTCCCAGGTGGGGTCCTCTCCTGAGCAAAGACCATGTCGGCTGTGATGAATGAGGTGTCGTGATTTTGTAATGTGAACTGATCTCCCCTAGGAAATGAGCTGCGATCTCAAAACTCATTTCAGTTGATTAGACTCTGTCTCCATGGTGGAAGGGAAGTCTTTCATCTAATCCAGCCACACAGGACCACCTCCGTCCCTCTGCCTCCCCCAGGCAGAAATGAGCAAAAGATTTGTTTTCTTCCATGACAGGGAACAGTTTGAGGCTCTTGTCAGTGAGGGAGGATACAAGCTTTTAGCTTGCTTTAAAGGTATCCATTTGAGTTGGGAATCAACACGACAGGCTTCACTTGAGAGAGCAGACGACAATGTGTCTGAGTTCTTCCTCTATTTCTCAGCCTCATTGGGATTTACATAAGGAAAAGCACTTCATATTTTTAATAATGCACTGTTTGAGACTTTGTGAGAAAGAAAGGGGACAGAGAAACCAAGGGCTGTCGTTTTCACCCATCAACAGTCCTTCTGTCTTTAGTCTTTGCTCTCACTACACAGTTGTGAATACGGCATAAGAACGTACACTACGTGAACAACAATGGCAATGACTTTTTAGATTACACTCATGTGAATATCCTTATATAGACTAGTTTACTACTGACTAATAGAATGGATATTGTTTATTATGCAAACTTAAACAAGTGTCAAAAGGGAGCAGAGCAGTTTAATCTAAGGGTCATACTTTTAATCTCTGCATTACAGCACATATTGTGGCTTGTGAATTCCACGGTTTTCTATGAAGCAGGTCTCACTAGCACATTTTGGAGGGCGAAATGTGGCAAGCCAAAATAATTTTAACTTAGAAAGGCTATTGTCCAAGGCTGAGTGTGGACTGCAAAGGCAGAATGCTTAGTCTTGCAGGCACAAGGCTCTGATTAATAATAATAATAATGCAGAATAAAGACTACTATACTTTATTCTTACATTTATTTTGTGTGTGCACGTGCACATACCTGCTACAAGGCATGTGTGAAGGTCTTATAAAAGCCCATTCTCTTCTTCCACCACGTGGGTCCCGGGGCTCAAATTCAGGCCAAAAAGTGTTGGCAGCAGTGCCTTACCTATTAAGCTATCTCACAGGCCTGAAAGGCTACTTTGTTTTAGTGGTTTGGAATATATTTAGAATTTGGGTGGAGTTCCAAGCTTTACAAAGTAATGTAAAAGTGAGCCACTCAGCTGCATGACAATATCCAGAAATGTTTATCAAACATCCACTTACACACCTGCTCTGCTCTTTCATGGCCGGTCGAGGGTGAATCCAACATAGCTCCCATACTTCAGTAGCTATAGTCTAGTTGGGCATGTTGGTCTAAGGACAAGTTCAATAAAAAGTGAGCTGTAAAGCTAAATATTCTGATGTGAGAGACATAGAGTGAAGGAGAGGGTGACTGTTTACCTTTGGGGGATTTTATGGTAGAAGAGATACTGAGGTTGGAGAATTACCAGGAAGTGATCTGGTAGGAAGAAGGGCGAGCTCAGGAAGGGGAGGTACTCTACAGCCATGAGAAGCTGAGCAGAGAAGCACAGAAACGTGAACAGAGCACACAGAGACAGTTCACCAAGTCCTCCAAGTCCTGCGGCCCTATGTGCAACAGCAAGCTACCCAGGTATAATGAGTTAATAGTTTAGCACATGGAATGCAGATTTGAATTGGCTTAGAACCTAACTAGTTTTTATCTTTATCCATTAATTCACTTCAACGCCAACAAATGACAACAGAAGCTTGCATTATGTTAACTGTTTTGTCACCAGCTTAGGAGCACTCACTGCTGAGAAACACGCACGACATCTGTGATGGGATAAGAAATTTTACGTAGGAGGAAGGTTGAGCACGTCACTCTGGTGACGTGTGTCTTGTACTAGAGTTGCCAGCGTCCTGGTGTTCACATATCACAATATTCTTCCTGGCGGCCATTTCAGTTTTCTTTACAATAACCAGTTGCCAACAGGATCAGTAAGAATATGAGTCCTACGATGCTATTTTGTTTATAGCAATTCATGTATGTTTTCAAACTGGCTCTCCCCTATGAAGTTACACTGTAGCTCTCCTCTCCACAAGGTCACATAGCAAAGATGGCGAAAGTTCGGCATGAGCCAGCACCACCCAACTCCACACTCACTGGTTACCTGAAGGCAGATCTCCCTACCAGCATCACTTTCTGTGGAACTCCACCCACGTGGAGCAGTTGCTGAGGGCCTCTCAGAGATGACCTCATTCCAGAAGACAGAGCACAGTTATCTGCAGGGTTCTCTGGGCAGATATTTCAAACATGCAGTAACCTATACAACAGCTTCTCTGCTTCTACCAAGAACTAACAACATTTAGTCCTGAGATATTAAAAATTTGCTGGATAGGATGCACTTTGTAATTCAAGTTTAAATATTCCTCATTATTTTTTAATAAGTGTGGTTCAACTTCATTAACTACGACTGGATTATTAGGCAACGCTGAACCCTCTTTTTCAGTTTTATTAGGAACTGAGTCATCTCCAATGCCATCGGCTGTGATATGAGCACTATTAAGTTTGGGTGAAGTCATCTAATTTATTACTAAATGTATAACAGTCCATATTTAGTAAGTACTCATGTCAGATATTGTGCTGAGGACTTTATGTTTATTACGAAATCCTCACAACCACCCTATGAGTTCTGCACTATAATTATCCTCACATACAAGGTAAGGGGCTGAACCTTGAACATGGCAAGGAAAGTGTGGAGGACACTTGATTCCCTAACTTTAGAACCCAGACTTTTGAATGATGATCATACAGCCTTCAGGGGCCTGAAAGATGGCTCGGGGTAAGGTGTTTGCTGTTGGATGATGCAGGTCTCATGATGCATGATGATGCATACCTGGAGCCGTATAAAGGTAGAAGAAAACAACTGACTCCAAGGACGTTGTCCCGACTTCCTGATGTTCACCGTGGCAAGTCCCTCTCCCCCATCTCTCTCTCTCTCTCACAATCATAAATATATTAAATTAAAAATCTTTATAGTAAATATTAAGGCATTTCTTTGGCGTTCTATTTTAAGGGTTAAATCAGAGAAGAACTTAAACTCAGTATGTCTTTTGATGACATGAACTGAACTATAAAGCGAGCCACTGTGCGGTGTGGCTGACAGCTCTGTAAAGCTCAGGTTCTGCAAATATCAGTGTAACAGTGGGGAGTGAACGCACTCAAAACATGATAGCAACGAATACTAAAAGCTAGAAAGTCAAATAAACATGGGTTTACAAAAGTCTCACTTTAATTTTTCTCCTTTCTCTTGCGGAAGTAACTCCTCTACTGCGAAAAGCCAAAGCACTTCCAACAGAAGACCCCTTTAAAGGTCAAGGTAAAGCCACCTGTCTCCTGCAGCTGTTGTCGTGAAAGCCTTCTGCTGCAACACCTAGAGAACTCAAGCTATGGAAGTGGTGGCTTTCACTGTCTCCTGGAAGACTTCCCGAACATCCATTTACCCTGGTGACGCGAGTCACTGAGTCAACATATGCTAATGACCACAGTGGAAAGGGAAGAGAGGGTTAAGTCTGTTGCCGTCATCCAGCCACTCGCCAATGAACAAGGAAACCGCGGAAAAGCAAGAGCATTGCAACACGCCTTTCTCAGCAGTGGAACTCATTCATAAAAAGCAAAACTGAAGTGAACTTCTCATCCTACTTTTAACAGAAAAAATCATGAAGAGGTTTTACTATTACAGCTACAGTGATCTTACAGTTACTGAAGTCTGAGGTCAGTCCCTAGTCTCCTACTGCATAACTTGACTACACAGAATGACAGGAAGTCAGCTTTGCAAAAGGTTTTGGGATCACTTGGTCTAGTCCTCCATGTCTACCTCCTGTACATCCTTACAAGAAATGTGAGGGGAGTGGCTGTGTCTTGGCCAAGGGACCTCCAATCTCAGATAGTACTTGCTCTTCCCAATCAATGGCCCTGACTAAAGGTCCAATATGAGGGAAAACACTTTCTCTTTTATTCTTTTTTGTTTGTTTGTTTTTTGAGACAGGATTTCTTGATATAACAACCTTAGCTGTTCTGGAACTCATTCTGTAGACCAGACTGGCCTCTGCCTCCCGAGTGCTAAGATTAAAGGTGTGCACCACTAGGCCAAGGTGGGAAACCCCAAACCATCAACATTGCTGTCTGTCATTCTTTGCAGCAATTCCGGGTAAGGCCCACTTTTCCTCCTTGCCATGGCCTTTTAACTGACTCATGCATGGTGTAATGAGACCCCTAGCCTCTTTAGCTCTTTCCTCTGGCAATACTTTGGTAGTAATGCTTCTGTTAGCATTAAGTCCCCCTATAGTCTCAAAGTTCTTGGTTCCTACTACTCTTTGTCCTCTAGGCTGGTTTTGAACCGTCTTCTAAATGTACCCTCACCAAAATGTAATCAGAGATGGATGTGTAATAGAAATGTCCTGATTTGTAGAAATGAGACAGAAAGGGAGCATCTGTCCTTGCAGTGTGGAGCTGGAACCCACTGATCAACCCAATGATTCTACAGCTACCTTAGTGGACACTGACCAAACAAAGGATTCTATAGTTACCTGGGTGGACACTGGCCAACCCAAGGATTCTACAGTTACCTGGGCGGACACTGGCCAACCCA